ACATGGAGCATTTGGACAAGATGAGGAAATATGATTGGGCAAAAACCATCAAGTCCATATTAATGAATTCCATTGAACTTTATCATCAACGTCCAGAACGAGTGAGTGGCTGTGTTATGACTTTAATAGTATGTAATACTACATTCACTCACATAACTATTAATGTATACGTCTGAAACGATACATTTACATTAGTTTATAATCATAATTTTTTTTGACATGCATATTAACTGATTATGTTGAGTCACATTGTCAAGATTTTGTTTTGACATTCATGTTTGAAGTATAAGTCTTCCCATTGTGAATGTTTGGAGTTTAATTTTCATCTTACATTGAAAATGTTCAATCATAAATTTTATATTTCAATACTCACATCACATTGATTATGTTGGGTGAATGGTCACATTGTCAAGATTCTATTGTTGACATTTGTGTTTGAAGTATGAATCTTCTCATTGTGAATGTTTAGAGTTTTTTATCCATGTTATATTGATTATGTTGAATCTCATTATTGATATTCCATTGTTGACATTTGTGTTTCAAGTGTGAATCTTCACATTGTAAATGATTGGAGTCTAGTTTCATTGTCACATTGATTATGTTGAGCCATATTGTTGATATTCCAATAGACTCAAAACACCATTGTTAGTATTTGAAATATGTTTTGACATTTCATTGATTACATTGACTGAATTGTCATATTGCTAATATTTGTGTTTGAAGTATGAATCTTCAAATTGTGAATGTTTGGAGTTTGTTTTCCATATTACATTGATTATTTTGAGTCACATTGTCAAGGTTTTGTTTTGACATTCATAGTTGAAGTATAAGTCTTCCCATTGTGAATGTTTGTAATCTAATTTTCATCTTACATTGAAAATATTCAATCATATAGTTGACAATTTGTTACATTTTATGTAGTATTGGCTGTGTGAGCGTACCAAAATAGTGGAACCAATTTTGCAAAATGCAACACCTCGATTTCTCAAATGGAATCTAGCAAAACTTCACAAGAATGTGAAGAATTTGTCTTTCTCGTCAATCAATGATGCTGAGGTTAGATACCAACATTATCCAATATGAATAATATTATTTATTGTACTAAAATTAACAGTAATCTGTATTACCAGGTTTATATAGAGAAACTCATACTGACAGATTGTGAGAGCACACTGTTGGCGCAGACAATAATTCGGGATGAGGAGAATAAAAAAGATGCACCTAAGAGTATTATTCATCATGAAGTCAAAATTGAGAAAGAAATAGTCATGAGCATACAAGAGGATGACATTGATGAGGCATTTGATACAGAGTTTGGCAATGAAGCAGAATTTCAGAGCAATGAACATGATGAACCCAATATTGAGGAAGGTGCAGAGACTCTTGCATATCTACATGCACATGGGGTGCATCAAGTCATTGTGTCAAAGGTTGCTCAGGACAACATTATAGAGAAAATGGTCGCTGACCATCAAAAAACATTAGACCTCATCGAGAAACTACAAATTGAGAACCAGAATCTGCAGGCAGCAAATGACATGAAAGACAAAATCATCTTGGAGCTGGAAACATTAATATGTAACCAAAAGGAGAATCCAACAGTTAAAAATGAGTTGTCCACTGTCAAACATACAATTGATAATAAGAATGTAGAGATAGAAAGGCAAAGCAACTCCATAATTGACCTCCAAATTGAGAAGACTATACTCCAAGTTGAGAAAACTATGCTAGAAGATAAAAATGATGATGATGCAGTACATGCTGGACATGAAAGACAAAATCATCTTAGAGCTGGAAACATTAATATGTAACCAAAAGGAGAATCCAACAGTTAAAAATGAGTTGTCCATTGTCAAACATACAATTGATAATAAGAATGTAGAGATAGAAAGGCAAAGCAACTCCATAATTGACCTCCAAATTGAGAAGACTATACTCCAAGTTGAGAAAACTATGCTAGAAGATAAAAATGATGATGATGCAGTACATGCTGTCACACAACAAATAAACCAGGAGACTTTGGATGTGGAACTGAAGCAAAATTTGAAGAAGAAGACCCAAAAAACTCCTGCATCTTTGGTGAAGCGCATCAAAATCAAAAAAAGGAAAGAATTAAAGTTGCCTGATTTTGAATTTCAAGACAAAAAGGGAGACAAACAGAAAAGGAAGTTGGAAAATTTGGAACAAAATGACATTGAGAAGCAATGTGAAATTGTAGATCCAGATTTTGAAGGCTATTTGCACAAGCTTCGAGACTTTAAGCGTTCTAAGCATAATAAGCTTAGGCTGTCCAACAAAAATGAGGTTTAGAAGATCATATCTGAACATGACAAGCAAAAGATAAGGAATATGCATAAAAATGGAGGTTACGGGTAAGCATATTTCAAACAACTTCTATGTCTTTAAATACCATCCTTGTCTTATTATATCTAAACTCTAAATGTAGGTTAACTGTTTGGCGAGGAACCACCAAGGAGACTTATGTTTTCTATGACGATCTTGAGTTAATAATTCAAGACAAGTCCATAACAAACAATGTATGGTGCTTTGTACATTGTGCATTAAAGGTTATATATATTAACATTCACATCATAATCACATTAACATTGAATATATACAGGTCATAGATGCATATGCAGAAATTTTAAGAAGAAAGCAGGAATCAATGATGACAGATTCACAACAATTTGACAAATCATTCTTTTTCAACAGCTTGTGTTTGGTATAATTTGTTATTTTATTTTTTTTATCCTCAATTAAAAACAAGTTTGATCCTTTATTTATAAAACTCATTACTCACAAAGTGCTGTCAATGTTTACAGAGCATGATTAAAGATGAAAAAACAGAACTACAAACCAAATTCATTAATCCTCACATCAAGCAAGCAAATCAGTACCGATATCTGCACTTTCCACTCCACTTTAAGTATCATTGGACCATAGTAGTGAGCGACATGGATGATGGAGTATGGACGCACTACAATTCAATGAGGCCCATAGATGGTTTTGAAGACATACACATTGCTCAAGCAAACATAGTGATAATTTCAATATTTCATTCAATAATATGAAAAAATTTACATGTTGAGTTACATATCAACGTAGTTAAAATATTATCTATTCTATACATCTAGTCATATTCACAATCACAGAAAACATATATTGAATCACATATTCAAAAATTGCTCTCCACATCGGATATGGCAGATACATTAACACCCTCAGATTATGTCAAGTCATTGCAATCAGTTGATGCATGCCCTCAACAAGGTCCAAATTTGTGAGTATTTACAATTAATATTCTCATTAACACAGTAGCTATAACCAATGTGAATATAACAAAATATTGATTCTTTTTTTTTTTCTTTTTTTTTCTTTTTTTCCTCCTGCAGTCTTAATTGCGGAGTTGCACTTTGCTACATAATGAGGCAACATGCCCTTCGTGAACCAATTAAACCTATGCTGGACAAGGAAGCTTGGCTTGCTATGAGAGCTCTATTAGTTGAAGCATTCCTAAATGATCTTGAAAGAACAAATCATCCAAGTTTTGTTGTTGACACCAACGAGGATGCATCAACTAAACTTCATATTTTCACACCCTACCATTTTCTTTTGATGTATTGATGAAACAAAGTTAACATCAGCTTTTGTCCAAGTACAATATGTTTTGTATATAATATACCACTCACTAACATGTGAACTTGGGTATTGTTAGTTAGTAAACAATCATTCCACAAAGATGTTGATATGAATAGCTATATACATTTTGTCTACCAAGAAATGTACTTTTAATATCAATGTTCTTTCTTGATCTTATTCATGGTGTATGAGTATTATTAGTCATTATATGTGTTTGTTAAGCACAATACAATGTAAAAGTTTACATAAGTATATCATATGCTCACCCTGCCAACACATATTGGGGATATATGTAACTTTTCTACATTTTATTTTGCAAAAAATCAAAACAAACTATTTCAAAAAAAAAAAATGTAAAGAAACTACAAAATTACAAATTTGATAGAACAAATCAACTTTTTATTGACAAATTGTATCAAAATATGAAAATTCACATTAAGAAGCTTGCACTAACAAGTACACTCATACATGAACTATTAAATTGTTTACTAATGCAAATGTATGTAACATTCACAACACTATGTTATTTATCTAAAACAAATTATGCACTATAAATACTCACAACTCAACATAATATTCACAACGATATCCAACACATGAACCAATACTCACAACTCAACATAATATTCACGTGAACTCTATTATTTGATCTTTAACAATTTTAATTGTGGCTGCCCATCTTTTTCCATCTACCACACCTCAAATCTTTTTCCATGAACACATATTGTGTATATATGTAGCAAGATAATATTTTGTTTTGATAAAACTGATAAACAAACTATTTCATAAATATACAAAATGAAAAAAAAAATACAAAATGACAAATTGCATATAATTAATGAATCCCTTCTTATTCAAAAATTGTATCGAAATACAAAACAAGTACACCAATGTATCGACTAATAAAATGCGTATCCAATGCAAATGTATGTAACATTCACAATGATATCTTATTTATCTAAAAAAAAAAAAAACTGTAAATGTTCAAAACTGAATGTGAGATTCACAATGTCCATCAACACATCAACCAATATAACTCTGTATTGGTTCTTTACACGACTTCCGATTGCGCCTGCCCATCTTTCCACATCTACCACACTTGATTTGACTTACTTTTCCCCTTGAGATGGTATTCTACTCTTTCTCGGCCTACCAGCTGGCCGTTTTACAATTGGAGGTAATATGATGAAATCGCTAGAGCAAAAATTTGGTTTCTCCATAGATGGTATTGGGAAAATAGCCGCTGCATATGCTTCCCTATAATTCTCTACATAAAAATATTTTTCAACACAATCATTAAGATTATATGCACTTCTTTGAATAGCCGCAATAGCATGTTCACAAGGAAATCCATTTACTTGTCACTGGTAGCAAGAACAAACACAACGTCCAACATCAACCGTAACTGATAGAAACGAATGCACCTCGAACACATCATCATTAGCTTTACTCACATTCCATGACCTATTAGAATTGAATGAATCTTGGAGGTTAGTCTCAAAGGTAGGGCAAATAATTTCATTCCACTTGTTTGCAATATCCCTTCGCTCTGACATTTGACACATTATTTGATTCCGGATAGTATCAACCAATTTTGTTATTGGAAGATTTCGTTCTTCTTTAATCCAATTGTTAAATGATTCATCAACATTGGATGTCATCTCACCATATCGTTGTCCCCTAACACATAACAACAAAAATTGTCACAATTTAATACCATATATGACATTTCACATTGTTATAACAACACAAAAATATAAACAATGTACATATAACCATCATGATATTCCATGAAACACACAATTGTACACACTTTACCTAAAGTAAACATTTGCCTAATGTTTTGGTTCTAACCCTGACAAGAAGTTATATGCTCGTTGATTCCCTTCACTTTTCAACTCTTATAGTAATGCATGAAAACTTGTCACAGTAGGTTCATATGCACAATCACCCAACTTCCGTATTAAGTGTTTCTTGAAACCGTCCTCCATACCCTTCAACTTGTCCCTAAAATTATTCTTTAGGTGTTGTAAACACCATCCATGATATGCTGATGGGAATGCCTTTGGCATTGCTTCCAAAAGCCCTAGATTATGATCGGATACAAATGTCATACGTATATCATCAGCAATTACTTTTGACAGTTCATATAGAAACCATGACCAATTCGATTCACTCTCCGAATCAACAATTGCAAAGGCTACTGGAAACAATCCTAAAAACAAAACCAATGTTAACAGTCACAACTCACACACAAAAAGTAAACAAATGTAAAAATTCACATCAAAAAGCAAAACAAACCTTGGTTACCGTCTTTAGCTGTCGCTGTAAGCAACTGCCCTTTGTATCTCTCTTTTAGAAATGTTCCATCAAGAAAAAGCAAAGGGCGACAATATTTGAAGCCATTTATGCACGCAGCAAATGCTACAAAAAACCTTTTAAACTGACTAGTCTTCAAATCATAGTCAATATTGATATGACTTCCAGGATTATAATGCTGAACAGCATCACCATACCATTTCAGTTGGTCAAACGATGTTAAGTAATCACCATGCATAGCCTCTCTCGCTTTCTTAACACCTAACCATGCTACATGGTAGCTGATATCAAGTCCATAGTCTGCCTTGAAAGTATATGCCACATCAGTGGGGCGTGTTAGTGGTATGTCCCTAATACGCTCAGATACAACATTTGACACCAAATCAGAGTTGAGCCTTGGATTTTTTGAAGTACGAACATCAGCACCACAACTATGTATCTTAGTCCATCTCTTAAGGTAGAAAAATTGGTTTGCTCTTTGGACTCTACCATGCACAGACCACAATCATCCCCTATCATCTCTATGTGAGCACAAAACAGTAATTCGTTGTGAATCGTTCTTCAAATATTTGAATTTAAACCCACATTGCACTGCATATTTGCATAAAACAGTACGAAACTCAAATGCTCCTCCTGTGAAACATTGACCAATATGCGTAATATCATTTTCCCAAACTGAAGACAGCAAAACCTTCTCACTGTGTGCACAATATCTACGAAGCAAATTTGTTTGATCCTCATCTTCAATGCATGGATTTGCTAAACTACTATGTCTATTAGTGCCCAATTTTTGCTCAACAACAACATCAATTCCTTCAACTCCAATTGATTTACCAAGTAATAACATGTTTTGCAATTCCTCATTGTTATCCAAATGACAATTTGTATACTCCGACAGTCGGTAAAACATAGTGATTGAATCAGCAGACAAATCACACCATTTGTTGCACACACATTTCACTAACTCGTCAAAGGAAAATGATTGTACCACATTTATCACAAACATGTTTGACCCATAGCAGCACAACAACAACATGAAAAAATCCATTTATCTCGTATCACACTGCAAAATCATCAATAGTACATAAAATAATTTGAATATTCAATCACATTCATATGTGTGAAGATTTGCTAACACAATGAAATGTATCAGGATTTTTAAATAGTTCAAATATTCACATCATAAAAAAAAAAGCTCTACCTCCTCAACAAACAATCATAAGCCCTACATTTATCATCATACACACCACATACAACAAATTTTAAGCTCACAGTATACACACATACATACAATTTTAATTATAAAATTCATATACTGATAGCGTGAACTTCCAGTTCACTAAATGCTTAACAACAGTTTGTTCAAACACTGATGCAACAAAACTTCATCATTCAAAATTTCACATGAACCCAATGATTTCATCACAACAACGAATCAATCACTAATCGCATGACATAAACATCACCGTAATCAATTGATGATAAACAACGAAGAACAACGAAGAATAAAATTGATGATAAACGAAGAAGAATGACAGAACAGAACAATGAAGAACAATGAAGAACAAAATTGATGACGAACAACAATGAAGAACAGAACAAATCATAACACCAATCTCAAACAAAAACTAACCTTATCCAGAATATCGACTGAAAACCAGACAAAATTGCAAATCGAAAATCACAAAGACAAACCAGAAATTGCGAATCACGCAAAACCTAGAGCTTCAATAATCGCAAAATCGCGCCCAATATATAGCTTCAGAAACTACCAAATCGAAAATCGAAAATGGCAAAGAGAAATCAGAAATTGCAAAGAATCCGGAATCTAAACACAGATCGCTTACTTCCCAAAAATCATATTCAAACAAGCAGCTATATATATAAGGGTAAAATGGTCAAAAAAATATATAATAAAACTGAAAATAGGACCTCCGGGTCTAAAAGTGTAAACTTTAGGGTTTAATAAAATAAAAATAAAAAACATGGATTGATTGGTATAAAAAAATCTAAAATAGGATTTTCTAGTAATTTTCCCTAATTTTATGGAGTTATTTACACGAAAATTTCCTAAACCATTCAGAAATATAATTTTGACCCTCTAAATTATAAAAATATACAAATTGGACCCCCTAACGAAAATGAAACACGCAAATAATTTAGGAGTCTATCTTGTACACTTTCAAATTTTAAGGGGCAAAACGATACTTCTCAATAATTTAAGAATCCATTTGTACACTTTTATAGTTTAGGAGGTCAAAGTGATACTTTTCAATAGTTTCAAGAGTCTTCATGTAAATAATCCTAATTATATATATATATATATATATATTCGAGTCTCGGGTTAGTGTGGGTTAAGTATGGTCTAAACCAAGAAATGAACCAAAACCAATCTTATCAGGTTCTTGATTTTCATTCCCATAAAGAAAGAAATTATATTTAAAAAATTGAACTGACCTAATCCGGACATGGGAACTGTGCCAACACACATGTTGTGAGGTCTGGTGGGAATGTGTTTCAAATTTATTTTAATGATCTGAACTACTCATATTGTAGAGTTTATCGCACATGGCATCCATACAAAAAATTAAGTTAATCTGACATGTGTAACGTCGTGATCACTTGTTTTAAAAAAAATTATCAAAAATTGCTTGTGGTCTTGTTGGGGCTACAAATATCCAATTGATCTGAATTTTTTATGGATGATCTACTCTATGAACTCTACAATATGAATAATTCGAATTATTAACATGGGCTTGTTGGAAAAATATGGTTTTATAAGTTTATTTTGGGCTAACTTTGAGTCCAAGTTTGAATAGGGTCCACACGTCTTTTGAGGTGGATATAAAGAGGTGACGTATTCGTTATCACATGGCAAGTCAGACAGTGAAGACGGTTTGTCAAAATCATTTATGAGTGAATGGAAAATTGACGTCGTTTTCAGGTTCGTGGAATGGACAATTAAAGAAGTAAAATGTGTGTTTCCTTGAAATGGTTAATCCATATTGGAAACTTAAGATAACTTATGCGTGTATATAAGTTCTAGGTGGAAACACTTGGGTTGAGCCCCAATGGGCACCCCAAGTTTGTAGAAGAGAGAAGTTATGGATAAAGTGAACCTTGGTTCAAGCCGCCGCCACCGTCCGGCAGAGCCGAGCCGTGCCGGGCGCGGGTGTGGGTTGGGTCAGTTCTAATATTAATTTTTTGGACAAAAATTTATTTGAATTTTTTCAAAAATTCTTGCGGGAAATTAATTCGAAATTTGCACCAAATTTGAAATCAAAATTTCTGTCCATAATTGTGCCTCTTCCAGTCCGAAATTCCCAACAGATAAACTGTCTTTTAATAGGTTTAAAACTGCCAGCAGTTATACAGATTCAAACTGCTGCAGATCTGTTCATTTAAATGTCATACCTGTTCGGTTCAAAACTGCATCTATTTGGACAGATCTACATCCTAAAAAATCTGAAATTCTCTTGATTCCCTTCCGGTTTTGCTCTTTTGCATAAATTCTCTTCATACTAGTTTTAAGGAAAAAATAAGAGAGTATAGAACACATGTTTTGTTTGCCGTACAAATTGTTTAGAATGTTACTACAATTTGTGTAGATTATTGTATCCTAGGAGATAGACACCTTTTATCCGTAAGCACCGAAACGGGGCGAATCTGTTTTAAGGACAGCGTGTCACACACTCAACTTGATTCTTTAAATATTAATTCGATTTGGTAAATAAATTCTATAAGTAATTTATTTTTATTTGTTTGATTTGTTTCAATTTATTTATTGTACACAGAAGATTGTTCTAACAATCTTAAGAGAGATTCGAATTATTCTGTTTATACAAAATTTTTTGTTTGTTTCCTTTTCTCTTTCTTCTTCTTACATAAATTATTTTCTGTGGTTTTACAAAATAATATTCTAGTTGAAAAAACAAATAGTAGTAATATACTGTTTATTTTCTTTGACAACTAGTAGTAATATACTGGTAGTCATTAACAATTCAGAATATTTATTTGTGAAATTAGTCAGAAATTAATTTTGATTTTCAGAAATAATTTCTGAGTTTTCATTAATTAAAATTCTGTTTCAGTATTTTAACTTTTGAAGTGTTACAAAAATTTAATTTTCTGTGTGGAATTAATTTGTTTAAATAAAATTTTATTTTATTTTCAAATTAATTGAAAATAAAAGTTACAATTCTTGTTTCTTTAATTTTTTACAGAATTTAATTATGTGGTTTTGGTTTAAATTTTCTGTGTAGTATAAAATTATAATTCTAATTTTGTTTTATAATTTAGAATTCATGACTACTGAAACTGGTCAAATTAATGCTCAAACAAGTACTGGTATGGTGGCTGTAATTGCTCCAATCCCTCCTCTTGTTGTGACTGTGCTAGTCAATCATGGTGAGAAGCCAGAGAAGTTTTCAGGAACTGATTTTAAGAGATGGTAGCAGAAAATGTTGTTTAATCTTACTACTCTCAGCCTGGCGCGTTTCCTCCGTGAGGATGCTCCTACTCTGAAAGAGGATGAAACCGATCAGCAAGTGGTTGCTGCGGTCGATGCCTGGAAACATGATGATTTTCTTTGCCGGAACTACATCTTGAACAGACTTGACAACAAATTATACAACGTCTACAGTCCTATCAAAGCGGCAAAGGAACTTTGGGAGTCTTTGGAGAAAAAATACAAAACAGAAGATGCTGGCTCAAAGAAATTTGTGGTTGGTAAATTCTTGGATTTTGTGATGGTTGATTCTAAGACTGTGATCAGCCAAGTTCAAGATCTCCAACGCATTCTACATGACATTCATACAGAAGGCATGTCTCTCAGTGAATCCTTCCAAGTTATTGCCTTAATTGAAAAATTACCACCAGGCTGAAAGGAATTCAAGGACTACCTCAAACACAAGGGCAAAGAAATGACTTTGAAAGAATTAATTGTGTGTTTGAGTATTGAGAAGGACAACCGCAACTCTGAGAAGCGGGTTGGTAAGCATCCAATGGAGTCTAAGGCAAATGTAGTGGAGCATGCTCTAAAAGCAAAGAAACAGAAGTATTCTGGAGAAAGTTCTGCACAAGGCTCCAAAGGAGGGGAAACTAAAAAAATACAAGTTCAATGGCAAGTGTTATATCTGTGACAACGAGGGACATCGGACCAAAGATTACCGTAGTAAACATAAAGGCAAAAGAAGATTAAGCAAAAAGCCTGCTCAAGCGAATATGACCGAAGTGGACAAAATTTCCAATGGTGTTGATGACATAAATCTTTTTACAGTTGTTTCTGAGGCAATCCTTGTCGGAAATCCTAAAGAATGGTGGGTGGACACTGGTGCTACTCGCCATATTTATGCTGACAAAAAGATGTTCACATCTTATTCAGTAGTGGACAACGGTGAACAACTTTTTATGGACAACTCCTCAACTTCTAAAGCGAAAGGACAAGGAAAGATTATTCTGAAGATGACATCTAGAAAGGAACTCACTTTCAACAATGTGCTGCATGTACTGGACATTCGCAAGAATCTTGTTTCCAAATTTTTGTTGAGTAAAAATAGATTTAGGCTAGTGTTTGAGAGTGATAAATTTGTACTTACTAAGAATAAGATGTATGTAGGAAAATATTACATGTCTGATGGCCTTTTCAAACTAAATGTAATGACTGTTGTCCTTTCTGTTATTAATAATAATATATCTTCTTCTTACTTGCTTGAATCTTCGGATTTGTGGCATGGTAGACGAGGATATGTTAATTATGGATCTTTGCGTACATTAATTAATATGGAATGTTTACCTAAATTTGAAATTGATCCAAATCATAAATGTAAAATTTGTGTTGAGGCAAAATTAACCAAAACTTCTTTTCATTCAATTGAAAGAAGTTCGGAACCACTTAAATTAATTCATAGTGACATTTGTGATTTTAAATCAATTTAAACTAGAGGTGGGAAAAAATATTTTATCATTTTCATAGATGACTATACAAGATATAGTTATGTTTATTTAATTCAAACCAAGGATGAAGCTTTGAAAACTTTCATTCAATAC